AAGTGATTTATATTTTGGTTTAGATATTTTTTGGTGATTTATTGCATATGCCGTCAATGTTTTTTACACTATAAATAGTTATTATTAAAAAACATGTCATATAGGCATTGGAATGAAAAAAAGGATATATTAGCAACATATTTGAGGAATGATAGTAGAGACTTTAGCTATTGTAATGATTGTTTCATTGTCAGGATTGGCAAGATGGAAGCCAACATTCAAGAACTCTCGGCAGCCTTCACAGCATCAAGGGTGGACTTGTGGTCAAAAGCCCTACACATAGGTTGATTTTAATCAGTTACATGTTATATGGTATGTAATGATTGTGTGGATGTATGTATGATTATATTTACCCTGAAAGTAGACATTAACATTGCTTCAATTCTGCAACATGAGGCAAATCGGAATCGAGAGTGATGGTTGAATGAGACATTGAGGTTAAAGATATTCCTATGTAGTAAGAGTAAAATTAGTACTTGGCGCGAATATGTAATATACGATATAGGGTTATAATAATAGTCCATTTGAAGTCGGTGGCCTTAATGTCTTCTAGGCTTATTATAGGATACTTTTTTTCATTTAGTTCCTCAAAGATTTCAACTCCACTGCTTAGCGCCAGTTCATCCCAAAGTGTGAGTTGCACCGATTTCAGTCTGTTTGGATTGTGATGGATTTATATGAGTGCATGAAGTTGCAAACAACTTTAACAATAAGATTAATGATAGGTCATACTTACTCTTCATCAACGACAATAAAATCCTTGATTGAGCGGACACCTTTTGAAGTCGGTTGGGTTTCTCATGGAAGTTTATCAATCACAACAACGACCATTGCTACAATATTAACAATGATATAAATAGACTTTAATATACTATTTTTTTATAATATGTCAAGTAATGATTTTTTAACCTTGTAAAAAATATTTCAGCGTGTTTAGTGTGAGTGCGTGATATTTGTGTATACATGCAATGTTGCTTACATATGTTCCACCCAGTCTTCATGTGCTGATATAGTTCACTGAATCTTGAGACCCTTCTAGCCTAAAAAAATTCTTCTTCATTAAGAACCCATGTGAAGGCATACCTCTTATCTGGCACTTTGAAAGAGTTTTGTGGAACACGGGCATTAGCGTTGGAGATGTGGTAAGACGAATTGAACTTCATAGTCATATCATACATCTCTACATCATGGTCAAATACCATGGTTGAGATGCGGATGCCCTGAAAACATTTTAAACATTAAAAATCACAAAAACATACCATGGACATTTCATAATGGCCTTTCTTTAACAATTGATATTCAAGACAATACTTTAAAATCACATGTAAAAACAATGATAATGGTTATTTATTGATCAACCCTAAATACATGGACATTTCATAATGGCCCTTTCTTTAACAACTGATATTCAAGACAATACTTTAAAATCACATGTAAAAACAATGACAATGGTTTAGGGTAGATGGTTGCAGCAACACTCTGATCTCCTGTTAAAAACATATTGCCGGTTACACTCTGATCTCCTGTTAAAAACATATTGCTGGTTCAAACATTGTGTGTATAGCAAAAAATAGGATAATACTACTGATTGGTAGAACTCTTCTATCAATAGAGGACATAAGCTTTCAAGATACATTATTGGGGTTACAATAACAAGAGAATATTATGTAGTAGTAATTTCATAGGGTACATTCTGAAGATTAAAGTAGGAAACAATCCAAGATTAACTGTTTATTTTAAGATATGTCAAGGTATTTTAAGATAAACTTTTAATTGATTGAATAAATAATGTAGGGGTGGGCGAATTGGTTTACGGTTCGGTTTTCTTCGGTTTCGGTTCGGTTTCGGTTTATTCGGGTTAGGAGAATTTGTACCAAACTTAAACCATTTGTGTTTCGGTTTGGTTTCGGTTTGATTTCAGTTTGAAGTTTGGTTTACCAAAGTAAAAACTATTAGGTTTCATTTAGTTCGATTTGATTCATTTTCTTATGTTTATTATAATATTATTTGATCAAGTTCTTATATTTTAGAATTAGAAAATGAAAGTAGTAGTCCATCTCATCTTCATTTATTGATTATTAAAATAAAATGTAAAAGGAAATAAACGATAGAAAAATAAACAACAAACTATTATAAATTAAAACTTCTAACATCTTTTCGATCACTAGAAAAAGATACATTTCTCACACACAAAAAAATTATCGTTGATTAACATTTATAATACGGAGTATCACATAAAATATTCAAAAAAAACTAAAGGAGTCGGTGGTACAAATGTTGTAATATTCACAATTTTATTCAAATGAATCATGCAAAAAAATATAAATGCAATATGCCGTTGTTATCACCAAACTTAACAAATACAAATGTGCCATATTATTAGTTAACTTTGTCATAATGAATGTATGAAATGTGTAAAAGTTAAAATGATATATGTTAAATATGTATTTTTCATGTCTAAATTATTTATTTATATATATCTTAAAAATGAAGAGCAAAGATAAATATAAAGCGTAATATATATATATATATATATATATATATATATATATATATATATATATATATATAGGGAGTGGTTCTAATGAGAACAACTCTTATTATGAGAAATGAGAACAAATCTTGATCATTCATCATAATAAACAGACGTAAGATATAAAATGCATGTGTTGTCCATTGGTGGGGACGTGCGACAAGATTATAACAAGTTATAAGGGGTGCAACGTTTAGAAGATAAATAAGGCTAGAAGGTAATTGTTAGTGCTCACCAATAAATGTTATGATTCCCACTTGCCTATAAATTTCCGAAATTTAAGGAATAGTTAGAAGCATTTAACAAACCAACCTGATCTAATTAAACTGTTCAGATTTGCGGTTTTCCATTTTTAAACCAAACCAAACCATTCGATTTGAACAAATTCTTACCAAACCACCAATTTTCGGTTTGATTCGGTTCGGTTCGGTTAAGCCAAACCACTTTGCCCACCCCTAAATAAAAGTATTGATTTCTAAATACTTATATAAAGTGCTGATAATAAATACTTAAAATTCTGATGAAAAACTTGAATGGTTTTGATATGTGGCGACAAAGGAATATTGACTACTTCATTAATGTCATAATCTACATTTGATTATATATACAAATTTGTAAATTTTGTATAAATGCACATTTACAATGTCTATAAATTACATCTCATGCAACGCGGAAGGAGATATTAGTCAATTTTAAAAGGGTATGATTGAAAACGTAGTTGTGTAATAAAAAAGTGCTATTTGTACACAAAAAAATTGTATACACTCCCTACACCCTTTAAATAGCCCTCTATTTTTATCATTCCCTTTTTACATCTTACCTCTTCATCTCCCCTCCTTCTCTCTTCCTTCCTTCCTTCCTTCCTTCCTTCCTTCCTTCCTTCCTTCCTTCCTTCCTCCCTTCCTTCTTTTATACGGTTCCCTCAACTAACTCACTCTTCTTCTTTCTCTTTTGTTCCATCTTCATCTTCATCATTGTGTTCGTCTTTCATCACTGACACCATCTCATAATCTTCCATCTTCACTATCTCTATCATACCTCACTTCCATCTACCCCATCATATTCATCACCTCTCATCCTCCCTATCTTCACCATCTTCCAATCCATCACCTCATCATATTCACCATTATTAGCTTCTAAGTTTGAAAAAGAAGAAGTTTGAGAGCCGCCTGAGAGTCATCGAAAAATTGAGTGAATAATCGTCAGAATTTTTGTCTATGTATACATACACTGGTTTTTTTAGTGCCTATGAGCCCCAAACAAAACTTTTAAGAACAAATAAAAAGGTACAAATTGTCTGTGTACAATCAACTAAATATTTATGCAAAGAAATTGGTTTCCGTGCAACCAAACGATGTATGTCATTTCTACCATACAACATGGAACCCAATGTCCGTATACAAACATTTAGTTATCTGTACACAAACATATTTTATATTTTTTTTCCGTACTTAACAATTTTGTCTGTGTGTCCAGAAAAAACTGTTGAGTGCAGACAAAAAAGTACAACTCATCTGTATACACATAACTAAATGCTTGTGCACATGCAATTGTTTCTGTGCAACAAAACTGAAGCATCTCTGCAACACAATATATAAACCAATGTATGTGCAAAGACATGTAGTTGTATGCACATAGACAATTTGTAAATTTTTTATTTGTGCTTGTTAATTTCAATGTCTGTGTTCACGGACATTGAAAAAAGCAATTTTTGTATACACGGACCAAATTTTCGGTGAATGTTCATCTATAATATTCCGTCCTACCACTCTCAAACTTTATTTTTCAACCAATCCTAAAAGATAATAATGATAAAGATGATGAAATGATGAATATGAAAGATGGTGAAGATAGGAGATGATGAATTAGGGTGAAAAAATGGAAGTGAAAGGTGATGTAGATGAAGTAAAGAAGATGTAATGGTGGATGCCAAAGTAATGAAAATGGAAAAGAAGAATATGAAATGTGAGAGGTTTTCTAAAAAAAAAGTGGGAACTTTGTATGAAAAATGTGTGATGTACACTAAATGTGTACACTTTTTTGTACATTTGTCTGTTTTTCGCATACAAGTGTACAAAAAATGTGTACACATTTTGCGTACACCCAACAAAACTCACTTTATATAAAGTGTGCCAAACATGAATTTCCGGAAAACTTAGCTGAGTTTAAAATTACTCCCTTTGTCCCATTTTTATAGGATATCTTTACTATTCATTTGGTTAACACAAATCACTCTTAATCCCTTACTTTATATATCAAAATTTTATGAAATTTGAATTACTTTTCACAGGTTTTATAGCGATTTTAATGTAGTTTTTAAATATGTATTTTTTTTTCTAAAAATAATTTGAGTACATACGTGATACATTTTGTTTATTGTGGCTAAACCGAAAAATATCTTACTCCATACTCCGTATAATTTTAGGAGCCCTTTTTCCCTTTTTACCTTTATCCCATTTTCATAATCACAATTTCCCAAACATTACACCTACCCAAACCTCAAAGCTCCCATGGCCATGTCTACACTTGTGTCTCTCACTCCCATCCTTCCAAAGTCCATCACCAATTCCATTTCAGAGCCCCTCATCTCTCTTAAACCCAACTCTCTTTCAAGAAGGCTTCTGTTCTTCACCTCCTTCTTTTCGCTGAACTCGTTTACCTACCCTGCCCTTCAAAACCCTCTTCCAAAATCCTCTGCTGAGACACCTCAACCCCCGTCTCCATCATCAAATCCGTTTCTTTCAGGCATTGCCAACACCAAGTCTTGGCTCCAGTTCTACGGTGATGGCTTTTCTATTCGGGTCCCACCTCAGTTTCAGGACACATTGGAGCCTGAGGTATGGAAGATCAGTTTCTCCAACTGTATTGAGTTCCCTTTCTTATTGCAAAAGTGGAGTGCTTATATTAGCAGTGGGATATGTAGATACGTATTAGCTGTAATGAAAAAAAAAACGATTTTTACAAGGTAGGGATAGTATGAGTAGTGATAGAGAAATTGTTGAGAAGGTGTGTAGGAGGGGCTAGGAAATATGATAGTTGGGGTAGGAATTGGGAAACTATAGTTCAAATGTACATTTTTTGTATATTACTATTTACTATTTACATTTTGTTTTTATTGGGTGATGAAAAGTTTAGACTTGCTCATTTGATATCGGTGAGTTGAGAGTAGGTAAAAGTTGGGGTGTAGCCCCGCAGGGGTTTTGGCAGTGGGGATGACTAGGTATTGGACTAGTGGTGATGGGGTTAGTGTTGATAATGGTATTGGTGGTAATGATGGTGATGCTTACTGAGTAGGTAGTGTAAGGGTTGGGTGGAGTAGGGATAGGGTAGGTGCAGCAGTGGTAAGGGTAAGTGACACACACACACATAATGATAATAGGGTAAAGAAGTAAAGAACAGTATACCTGGAATTGTATGACAGTGAACATATATGGCTATTTTTTTTTGGGACAATTAAACACAAAATTTGTAAAATTTGAACAAATGTACACTTCAACTATATACGGAGTATTTGAAAACATATACACCCCTTAAGTACTGATCTAAAGGATATGTGTGTGTGTGTGTGTTTTATACGGAGTAATGTATAGTTCTAAGGGTATATTTGCTCTAATTTACAGTTATTGTTTCGAAGTGCTCTATAACAGGCTGGGGGTTATATTTATTCTATAACTTATGTTTCAAGGGCATAGTTGTTCTTTTCCCCAATGGAAATTTCACGATTAATTGATAACAAAAGATTATGTTTTATAATTAAAAAACAGGAATACAATGCACTCATATAAACAAGTCGTCATTCTTTAGCAAAATATAAACATACAAACTCATATATAAAGTTTTGGATTACCTTTCATTTACTCATTCTTGTACCTAGGACCCCAAACTGTTTGAATTTGGGGTCCACGGGGAAAAAGACAAATTCATACCCCCTCCGTTCCATTTTACCTGTCTTACTTTCCTTTTTGGGTTGTCCCAAAATAAGTGTCACCTTTCCTTTTTTGGAAAGAAATATGTGGTTCAAAACATTTCACTTTACTCAAATTTTAACCACAACTTTTACCTTTTCAACCATTTTATTAAAAATTGTGCCAAAACCAAAGGAGACACATAAAATGGGACGGAGGTACTATATGTTTTACACAAAAACATTGTACATGAACATTGCTGTTACTGATCTTGGGGTGGGTCCGGGCCCATGTTGGCTCCCTTAGTTATATGACTTATATCAATCTTTAGGATGAAATATCAATATTTATATCGTATTGTCAGAGCTAATTAAGTTTAAACTACTACATGATCTGATTAAGACTAAAAAATGCATGAATCTTAGATTAGTTTGCTATTATGAGCCAACTTTTTGTGAGAACATGTTACGATTCAAAATGGATTTTAGGATATAATAACTTAAGTCTTAATGTATGGAAATAGTTTTTGACATGGACCATCTTGACGCAGTGATTGATTTTCTAGGATTTCAATGTTGGGTTGCAACTGTACGGTGATAAAGCTAAACCAAAGACTCTTGCTGCACGTTTTGCGTCTCCCGATGGGTATTATACTGATCATGATCTATGTTATTTCAAGCCTTTTTTTTATGTTTGTTTACATTGAAACTAAAATGTTTTTCGTTTTTCGAAAGCAAAAATTTGATGTGTTTTATTATTTGGAACTTTACTATTTCATTAAAACTCATATGGACAGCCAATCATCTTTGGTTGTTCTCTGGGTGGTAAGGCTGGGTCTAGTTGTTGGTTCATAGTCATACACTCATACCTCAGGAAGACAATGCCTCATATAATCTTCTCTCAAGGAACAAAAGTTTTCCATTTGGCTGGGTCTAGTTGTTGGCTCATACCTTAGGAAGCCAATGCCTTTATATGATCCCTTCTTTGAAGGAACAAAAGTCTTCCATTTTTTTACTGAAATTTCATGCTCCTCGTTCATTTTTATTCCTCGGCATTAGTTTGTATTCAAACTAAAATGCTATAATGTGTTCCTAAAGCATAGATCTGAAGTTGTTAGCGTTTTGATTCGCCCAACTACTCAACTCAAGATTACCTTCTTGGAGGTTTGTGAAATTCAATTATTTGCCAATTTACTTTTACTCTAATGTTCATATTTACACAATTCTTACAGCCTTCGCCCCTATTTCCAATGTCTTCTATATACATAGTCACAAAATTGCAATTTAAATGCAATAAACCATAATTGGATATTTTGTTCTTGCTAATTGCTATGCATCAACAATGTAGTTCTGAATATCTGAAATTTATTTACTATCTATTGAATTCCCCTAATTACATTATTAATACTTAATACACTTAACTTATGTACTAGATCCACCACTTCGTAAATATCTTGACATTGCATTACATCAAGTATCTTGGGTCAACTTGATGGCAAGCAAGCTTAGGGTGAGAAACATTCAAATGTACCATAAGACCATAAGTGACCAATGTGTTAAGCCTCTCACACATAAAACTTTGGGTTACTCCTCATATTAGGTAGAACTTTTAGCATGATAGTTGAAGTTTTTATATAGGATCATAGTCAATTCAATTTAAACAAACAACTCAACTGGACTAAGATTAAAAAATAACACATACATTTCAAGATTGGTCTATTCCAAATTTCCAATAATGAGAGCAATTTTGAAACTGTTGTAAAACACGTTTTTAAGTTTTAGGTGTGGAAGTGAGTGCAGCTCTAGCTCGCTAGTATAGCGCTACCCATATTACAACCAAAAAATGCATCTTTGGGCTTTTTCTTTTTAAGGTTGAAGAGTCAACAATGTATTGTAGTAGTGCATAAATAGTCTAATTTTGATCATTCTTGTTGCACTCCAAGCAGGCTCAGGACATAAGCGACTTAGGTTCATTGAAGCAAGCAGCTAAGATATTTGTTCCTGGTATTTTAAAGTGTGCTCACTCAATTTCACTTATATTTCTTTTCCGTCCAGCTTGAATAGGTATGCATGTTTTTTCTTTGGTGCTTTGATGGTAGGTGGAGCTACTCTTTATTCTGCCCACACAATCAAAATTAAGGAAGATGAAGGCTTTAGGTGAGTGTATGTTCAAGTTCATGGAGAGGTTGTCAATTTCTAAACGGTGAACTTTGACAAACGCTAATTAGTATGGAAAACATCTAATTACAATCAAGATTTGATTTCAGATTGTACTTCCTCGTTTTTTTCTTCCACAAGAGGTTTATACACAGTTACAGACTTGCAGTTTGTCTATACAGTCGTGATATTTGTATTGGGAGTGTCCCACATAAAAGTGATCTATTGGGGTTGGGGGTGTTTTGTACATCTACAGGACCTATTACTTTTATGAGTTCGGACGAGATGAACAACATATTGCACTGGTAGCAGCCGTTAACAGTGGAAAGGTGTATTTCTTAGATCTTTGCTCCTTGCCCATGGCTTTGATATTTTTTTGGAACTTTTCCTGAAATAACACTAATTCAATACACATTGGACAAAAATATTAGTTTTCAATGTAAGGAAAAAATGTTATAAACGCAGTTATCAAATTTCACTGTTTAGTTATTTATTAGTAACCACATTGGTAATTGGTCTTTGCCAGTTGATTGTTAGTAATGGCGTAGTTAAAAATATTGTCCTAAAATCTACTCCCCTATTATGTTTAGGGCCACAGACTTAGCACAATAAGGAAAAGTGGGTTGTGTTGCCATCAAATTTGAAAATTTTAGAATGATTAGCATATCCAGATATTGTATGACACAAATATTCTGAGACGCAAAAAGATGGAAAGATTGAACTAACAAAATGGGATGAAGGGAGTAGTATCGAAGGATTTTTGCCCAATGGGCAGTTACTTGGTCATATCTAAGGATTTTTTGTATTTTTCCTGCCTTTGAGAGCATATAGTTATGATACTTGAATGTCTTAGGTTAACAAAACATATATATCATCATCATCACCCCAGTGCCGCAAAGGCTCCCACCTACAGTGGGGTAAGGGTTAAGAGAACATATATATATATATATATATATATATATATATATATATATATATATATATATATGTTAATCTGTATTGGGTTGTTTGCTGGTAACAGACCACTCCCAGGCCCCTATTGTTGACGGGAACCGCCGTCCGGCCCGGTGGAAGTTTTTGATTGAAATTTTTTGAGCATGTTCTTCATCAATTCTAGTTTACCCATACCAAGTTTCAGCTAAAAATTCAATTGGCAAGGCAGTCAAATAATGTTTTGAAGATAACTGCGCTTTATATATATAAACAGCGCTTTATATATATAAACACGTTTGACTGCCTTCCCGATTGAATTTTTAGCTAAAATTTGATATGGATAAACTAGACTTGATGAAGAACATGCTCAAAAAAATTTATCAAAAATTCCACCGGGAAGGGCCCCAAACGGCCTCGACCGGGCGGCGGTTCCCGTCAGGCTGGCTGGACATGAATTTTCCTCTCTCTCTCTCTCTCTCTCTCTCTATATATATATATATATATATATATATATATATATAGGAAAATGTTCAAGTAAGGTAGGCCTTAGAATTGTAATTCCTAAGCCTCTTTCATTTGAGGTGCTTCCGGGTCGAATTTTTTGGTGAGCATGTTCTCCATGAAGTGTAGACTATGCCCACCAAATTTCATATTAAAATTCAACTGGAAAGTCGGTTAAATAATTTATTTAACTGACTTCCCGATTGAATTTTATTGTGAAATTTGGTGGACATAATCTACGATTCATGGAGAACATGCTCACAAAATTTCATCAAAAAATTCGATCCGGAATCACCTCAAATGAAAGAGGATTAAGAATTACAATTCTTAGGCCTACCTTACTTGAACATTGTCCTATATATATATATATATGTATAAACACTAAAGTTAAAAACTTTAGTATATTTGGAGGAAACTTTTGTTGATAACTTTCATGTTAAATTAACTAATTTTCAAACTGCTATTCTCAGGCATTCATTGTTGGAGCAACAGCCCCAGAGGACAAATGGCTTGATGACGGTATCAAGCTTCGATCTGCTGCTGTGTCACTCGCTGTTCTATGATCTGATGAAAGAAGAGACACTCGCCAAATTGTCAATTCTTGGTACTTAGGCTAATATTTGTTTTTTATGCTCCATTCTCTTTTGATGATTTCAATTATCTATTATTTTTGTATACTTCTGTTTCTAGATGAGGCTATCTGCTTATGTACCCCTGCTTCCTAACTTTACTGTGCATGTACGTCGGAAGGCTTACTAAATTGTATGTCCATATCTGTGTAGCTCTCCGGTACATCTACATTACTGCATGTTTTGGTGCATTCAACACATGGCTTAATCTTATTTGATATCTACTCGTCAGTTATTCATTTTAAAAAATTCAAATTTGCAAATGTGATCCTTGACTAGCTGATATTTGTAAGTCAGCCCTAATAATATGTGATATGTCTGGTTTCCCCTTCTGTCATCCCTGTTCCCTGCCGCCTTATCTGATCTTGTTTGATCTTGCCGTTCAATCGACACCTTCGCATCTGTGAACCTTATCTGTGGGCTTTAGCTGGCCGGTCTCCCAAACAAAATCCCTACTATGCTGGCCGGTCTCCCAAACAAAATCCCTACTATGCTCTGTAAACTTCTCTTTTATTTTATATTTTTGTCTCCTTGAGTTTTGATCATTTCTAAATTATTCACTTCACACTGCATCATTCAGCTGGGCAAGATTCGTGAGAGTGGTGTGGTGGGTTCTTTCTCTTCATTTTCTATGGAAGTTCTACTCCTCGCTCTAGTGGGTGTTGACAGAGGGTTGTCTTGACTCCTAAGGGCTCATGGAAGAGGATTTTGCGATTTTCAAATCTAGGTCCCTGGAATGATGGACCCAAGTTCCAGATTTGCATTTGAGACCTGGAACTTCTGCAACAAAATCGGGGAAGAAGAAATCGTGAATTTGGTGGGAGGTACATTCAAAATCATACTTGGCTAGTTGCCTAGTTCAAAAAGTAGCTTAAATGTCTATGGTTGTTGTCTTGTTGAGGTGAGGTTTTGAAAGAACCTTGATATGTTTCAGATGTAACATTTTGATGAACTAAATCTGAAAGACTGAAACCAAAAGAAGCACTATAAAGCAACAAACTTTGCAATCGTGGTATAACTTTATAGGTTCCACCTATTGCACTTCTGCCTAATTGTCTCATGCAAAAGAAGGCCCTTCAGCCTTTCCGCAAACAGGTGTTTGGGTAGTGCTTCCATTTCTCAAATCACTTGCTAAGCTTGCAAGAATGTGGATGGGCTATCAATGTTGGTAGTGGGTTTCATCATTACTCTGCACAGAAGGCGGTCGTTTTTGTGCTTATGTAGACATCCCTTGGCATTTTATTTTCTATTCGTTTATTTTTTTCTTTCCCTCTGAGTTTCTGAAATCCAAACATAACCTTAATTTATCAGCAGAACCAAGAGAAATCAGAACATGGGAAACTGATAGAGTTGTGCAGTAATGTGAACGCATAAACCTTGTCAGACATGGAGCTTGCATCCCCATACGGCCATACCACCACCATAAATCATTTCTCCTGCTTTACATCCCTTTTATCTTGTCACCCTCAATGTTTTATTACTGCCTCAAGTAACACATTCATCTTTATGAGTTGTGGCATGTTCTTTAAGGTTTTTGAATCCAGAAGTTACATTGATCAGAAGGCTAAAGTACCAAAAGAATCGAGAGTTACAAGTTATAACCATCCAATAGCTCCAAATCCACCATTTATATTCTAACAAACTTCATTTAAACTCAAAAGGTGCCCTACTTCCAGACATTTGAGGCTGTCACATCCAATGAAATCACGAATCACCAAACGAGCAACATAAAGTTCTTCCTGCTCTTTATTAATGAAAGGGCCTTATACTATTTTCTTTATGAGTTGTGACATGTTAACTTAAAAAGTATCAAAATCCATGACATTTTAGTTCTTGGATTGATAGTTTCCAATCATTTGGACCTTAAATTAACACAATTTATGTGTGACGTCCCTTATGGATATGGGTTTATGAACCTATCTTTAATGTCCTGTATTTATAAAATTCTCCATTTTAATTGAGAATCCGAATTGAGCAATATGCATGGACTCAAAAGCTTACTAGACTCTTGCCAAGAACACATGGAAAAAATCAAGTATCCTTTTTAAATACGAAAATGAGTCCTAAATAGAAATAAATATTCCTATCTAATCTCTCAATTGATGACATGACATTAGATGAAAATGAGTCTTAAATAGAAATGAATTTTCCTATCTAATCTGTTTTTTTTGGGCAAAAAGGAAACTGATTATTAAAGATAAAAGCAACAAGAGATAAAACAATACAGTAGCTCAAGGCTACAATGAGATTAGACATAGAATTAGATAGGGGTGGACCGGTTCCGGTTCGGGCCCGGTTCGGGCCTGGGCCCGGCCGGGCCTCGGTTCAGAAAAAGGAGGCCCGAGCCCGAACCGGTGGTGGGCGGTTCCGGTTCCGGTTCCGGGCCAGAACCGGGCCGGGCCGGGCCACCCGGAATGTTTTTTTTTTCTTCTTCTTCTCTTATTTAACCCCCTACCCCTCTCCCTCCACCCCAAACCACCCCAAACCACCTCAAATGGCCCAAAATACCTAATCCAACCCAAAACTTAAAAAAATTTCAAAAAAAAAAAAAAAATAAATTCCGGCCCGAACCGGGCCCGGCCGGGCCGGGCCGGTTCACTAAACTGGAGGCCCGGGCCCGGACCGGTATACCACCGGGCCGGGAGGCCCGAACCGGAACCGAACCGGTTCACCGGGCCGGTCCGGGCCCGCACAGTAGCGGGCCGGTCCGGTTCCGGGCCGGTTGGCCCGGCCCGAGTCCATCCCTAGAATTAGATGGTCTCCAAGGACCAAACAAATTCGCTGATCCCGTGATTGTGTAGACTAATCTAATAGCACTTTTGAACTTGCTACTCTAAAGGCAATTGAAAGAAAAAAAAATTCAAACCAGAAAGGAAACAAATAAATTCAAGAATTCCAACTTCACCGGCCACCGAAAAGAGAGAATTGATTTGACTAGCAATCAATGAAGGAAACTCCGCCGCACAAATTTTTTGTGAAACAATGGTTTGACCAGCCACCAAAAAGGATATTCAGTTGAGCGTTTTCTTCTTCTCAAAGCGAGGCGGTGGTTCAGGTGGAGAACGAGTAATTGAAGACTCAGCACAATAAGGTTGGAAAAACTTTGTCAACCATGAACAACGAAAAATTCACCAGATCAATTACACCGATGTGAAACACACAACCTATAGAGATTGTTAGGAGAATAACATACCACACACTACCTGAAGTGGACAAAACTTGCGGCCAACAAAGAAGCCCGACCAAAACCCTCGAAAAAGTGCCTCCAAAAATCAATTTTACAATTTTTGAAATCACTTTTCTTAATCATATGATTACTATGCAAGTAACCTTGTTCAGATTTCTAAACTATGCAAAAATACTAATCATTTTTCATTTATTTGGCAATTAAATTTGTTTATAAAGGGGACTTTGCGCACAAATAATTATAACACAGGTGAGTTTGACACATTTTTTTAAATCACACGAGCATTTGGTGCATTAAACGTTATCTCATTAAAAAAGAACTATGACTCACATGGAGTAGTATCTCTTTTTGTAAACCAAAACACTCCCATATCCACGGTGTAACTATGATTCTATCCGCTTTTTGGGTGTGTGTAACATGAATTCCTAATTTACACACAAAAAAGAAGAAAAAATGAATAGGAATAATTTCAACTATTAATAATATGCTTGAAATCATTCAAAATATCATTTTTTTTCAAAATAATCTTTATTACAAAAAATTCTTAAAATATTTCAGTCACTTATAATAACTCGTAAATGACTTAACATATTCATGAGTTAGTGGAGCATTTTGATTTTTTTTCAATAGATGAGATTATTTTAAAATAATTGATACCTTGAATTAATTTAAATAAATCATAAGATTATTTTTGTCCATTTTTTTCAAAAAAGAATAAGAAAATGAGTCGATAGTGTTTAATGAAATTTGATTTGATTAAATTTCTCACACTCACCCCCTGACCAAAACCTTCCATGGAGTTGCAGTTAGGGAGTATAATTTCTCCTCAAGTATAGCAATGGCACTGAGACGTTTAGCCTCCGTTCAGAGGCTCCAAATAAGCCTTTATCGAGCAACTGAGATTCGATCGAATTCTTCTTCCTTGTACGGTCATTTCACATCCCATTATTAAGCATCAATATGTATGAAGTAGGACTATATGTGTAAGCTGTATGCTCATAAACTGCATACACCCATATATTTTCTTCTTTCGCTTGTTCAGAGAGGCATAGGTTTTTTCCTATTTTGACGATTCTTGTGTTTTTTATTTGCAGACTCAGCAGCAGCTCAAAAAGCTCTCCTGAAGTTTTTTATGGTAACGTTGATTTGTTAAGTACTTTAATTGCATTTTAAGTGATTTTCTAGTCTTCCGAATTTGAAATTAAAGGAAAAAAATTGCCTGTTTGTTAGTGTGTGTGCTTGGGTGGGGAATGAAAGCTTATAAATTATCGAATTCCATAGACCCCCCACACCTCCAAGAATGCATCAAGAAATGCTTTTCTTTTTGAGGAATTACTGCAAATCAGAGTAAAAGTAAAACATGAATTAAACTCACAGGAAAATCCCTAAGACCCTAACACATGCTCCCCAAGATCATAACTTGACAGATGTTGTTTTCCTGAAAGTACAGAGTATCCCATTATTAATCTGCCTTTTTTATATTCAGAAACTGAATTCTGGGGGAAATCCTCTTACTTATGTATGCCCTGGGACAGTAATTCTCGGAACAGTAAGTGTATGCAAGAGAACTTTTACTTTGCTAAGTTAAATCTTAAAACCAACTTTTTTTACCACATTGCTAGTTTGCTACTTCTTACCATCTCCCATTCTTTTCAGTTGCCTGTTATAGTAGTCGGAGCATTATATTAAGCTTAAACAACACCAGCAGTCTCCCTTGGTCATCAAATGCAAATGCCCTACGGTCAACCACTGTAAGTAGTTGGAGGGCTAAGGATAAAACTTAACTGTTTTATCGTGCCATTTTCTTTTTTCATTTCTTATGATATGTAACAATTTCTTCTGTCACAAATAATCATTTGGTGTACTTATATTTGACTGTAGTATTGGCATCCACCACATGTTTCACTCATTGTCATTCATGTTCTTGAACCTTTTTTTGTTGTGTTCATTTTTAAGACAGTATCCAAGTGGGACTTACTGGGTTTGTTTTATTTAGTTTGTACTGTATATCCTGCTATTAACCCTTTTTGGATTTGATTGTAACTATCATTTTATTTTCAGGGACCCAAGCTTCCGAAGTTTGGGTATTTGCGGTCAGTAACCATGCAAGCTAAAGCATCTCCCCAAGCACGTCAAATGGTAAGCTAAATAATTTTGGAACTAATAGTAAATGTAGAAAGTTGGAATTGCGGGATGGTCAGCAATCAAGATGCTGCAGCTTCCTTAACATGTAAACCTATTAATGTGCGAGAAAGTTAGTGAGAAACCCATGGTTCTAGTGAGAGCTGAAATTATCAATATTAAGGAGTGTTGCCAACACGCTTCTAAGATATATAGAAAACGTTCACATGAGTAATCTTTACTATTGATGGTCTTCCCACATAAATCCCAAATATTGGTAATTCCAATATAATCTAAATTATAAAGGATACCTTCTCATAACAATCCGGTGACCTACATAAACAATTCAATAGGCCACCTGGCCAGGTGGTATTGGTCATATTTTTCCCCTTTTTCTTTTCGTTTCCTTTTTAATTTTCTTCCCCAGACAATGCTTCCTGTTTTCTTCTTCCCCCCCAGCGCACGCGCTTATTTTTTCTTCATTTTCCTTCCACCTCTTTCATTGCATCTCCATATCTACCTCTTCTCCTTCACTTTCCTTTCTGAGACCCAGCCATTCCAGTCCAATTTCATTACTTTGCTTTCATCTTGGGAAGAAATAATTTGGCTAAAGTTTTTGAAAGGTATATACTAGAAGGTTTCCCAAAGCCCTTAAAATTTCTACTTCACCCCAAAGCCCTTAATCTTATTCTTTTTCTTTTCTTCTCATCAAACTAACATGGTCTTCAGACCCCAACAACAATGGTTTCCAGTTCCGCTGCATCTTGTCAGAAACTCGCCTGAGGTTTTCTTACTGTGGGAAAGTCATATTACACAAATATAAGTAGACGGGTAATACAGAGAAAAAGAAGCCTTTGGTTTAGCTTCTCAAATTTTGAGTTGGATTAGCCAAAATGATTCTTCTGTAGATGAATTTGAAACAGTGAGATCGACATTTGAGTTTGATTGGAGGATGGTGTGGGGAAGGGTTCCAGATGCAACTGATGGGGGGAAGAAAACTGAAAAAATGATTTCCAGATGCAATGGAAGGAGAATGGGAAAGACTAATAAGCGAAAGAAAAGAAAGGAGGAAAATGATAGAGAAACTATGGCTATGGATGCTGCAGATTAGAAGAGGATTATCTTCTGCAGGTTCACAAAATGGGAAAGAAGAGGAATGGGAAAAAGGAGGGAAAGTAAAAAAGAATCAGGAAAGAAAAGGGAAAAAATGACTGAAGGGACGATGACATAGCCTTCCTGACTCCACGTGTTCTTTTTTCTCTTTTATTTTTTAATTTTCTTTACCTGTTTAGGAAGTAGAATGTCTCCTAGGATGAATATGAGAATTGAGAAGACAACCTATGTATTTCCTATTATTTTAGAATTACGCATATTTGGGATTAATATGAAAATACTGCTAATAGTTGGGATTATTCATGTAATTTTTTTCAAATATATAAAGCAATGAAAATGCATGATGCGAATAATATGTTGTCCGCAAGGGCGGAAAACGTTAAAATCAACTACAAAATGGAAATAATTGCATACTATTCTTCCGTTTATTGGATTGGTTCAGATTAATTTCTACACTCTTGCTAACAT